AAACAGGAAGTGGCTCGTAACTAGGCCACACTTGCTCCGATCTGCCCCAAACTCGACATGCCGGATCACAGTCCTGCCCGGAGCAGGTTTGCCCCACACCCCGCCGTGCGCAAAGGCCGACAAGCGTAGGGCGAGGACCCGTCCATCGCCGATTGCAGCTTTAATTCAATTTGTCACTCTAAAATTAGTATTTTTGATTTTTCTTCCCTTTTTTTTGTCTTTGCTTGAATATTTCTTAGCATTTGACTTTATATTAATATGCATACATTCTGTAGGCTCTCATTCCTGTTGTCTCTGGTTCTGTTTTCACTCACTGACTTGTATCAGCTGCAACAACAGTGGAGCTGGAAATCGTCATATAAACTCATCGTTTTGGTCATTACTAGGATTCATTTTTCCAGGTGTGACTATCTGACTGTAGAGATGATCGTGTGTGCAGTCGATACGTTTTGGGTAATATGTGGGTGAAGGCCTTTTAACAGGTAGGCACTGCAGCTTTTCTTGCTGTTGTAGGTACCATTCTCCTAAAAGATAAATGTCGTGGAACTTCAATAAAACACAGAGCAAGTGTTATTTCTTGCCCCCAAAAAGCCCCACATGTGTGCAAATGGAACTCCTGCCTTCCCAAGACAAGAGCCAAAGGTGTAAAGTCAGACGCAATCTTACAGTTTGTCTTTGCCTCCCAGATAAGGAGAAATAACAAGGAGTCAGTCTCCCCTGGTTTTGTCTAACTGTTCCACCAGCGAGGAACTTCAAGGCCTCCACAGAATTATTTGTGTGGTCCTTCAAGTGAGAAGATAAAGCCTCCTGAGCACTGCAAAACTTCAGGGTCAAGCGGGCCTCTTTTACACAAACAAGAGTGGAAAGAGACACAGAAGCTGCGTTCACACAAGAGAGAACGCAGCTAATGTATGAAACATGCAAAAAAAATAACATATCACCAGAAAATCATAGCTAACCAACAAAATATTCACTGTGTAGTTCTTCTTTAATGGCGTTTGTCTTGTGACTGCAGTTGAACCAGAAGTTGAGAGAAAGCACAGAAGAAGAGGAGCCCCCCAAGTCTCAGACGTGTACAGACCTGCAACCTGTTCAGGAATCGGTAAAAACACCTCCCACACACACACACACACACACACACACACATACAAGTATACTCACATGCATGATAATTTGCTCTAAAGCAACCGTGTCTCATTGCTGGAGCTTCTAACATCGACCCTGCTCTGCTTCTCTGTTCTCTCCCCTGGTTTGTCTGGTCATTGTTTGCTCTCTGGCAGTGTCAGTCCACCCGTTGGTACTGGAAGCTAGTCCCCGTAAGTGTACTCTTCTCTTGTCTATCTCCCTCTGTCTGTCCATCTGCTATGGCTGACATTATTGTGCCTGCTGGAAATGCCACACATACCTCTTATCTGTCCCCTCCCCCCCCCCTTCATGAAAAGTGCCTTTGTGTAGAGCGGTTATATTGTCTGAGTATCTGCTGACCTTTATAAACTGACCGATTAGATGCCTGATAGGTCCTGTAACTGCTTATTATTGTTATTATCAGCTGATGATGTTTTGGACACTTGGGTGTTTCTGACTTTGTTACGTTCAGTCATCAGTTTCATCTCAAAATGGCCAGAATATCAGAGCCGAGGGGTGAGGAGGAGGAGGAGGAGATGCTGGAGAGGAGGGAGGTGAAATGACTTTTTAAAGACCTCTGTGCCCTCTCTGTTTGCCCCCTTCCTCTCCTCCTCCTCTTCCTCCTCCTCTTCCTCCTCCTCCTGCGTGGCTCCTCTCTCCCCGAGCAGTGCCATGTGACTTTGTGGTGTGGCGGTTCCCATGATGAGCGGCCCCCTTGTCATTTATGCTTGTTTCCCTCTCTCTGCCATCCCCCATCCAGCATGCTATCGCTTTTTGTTTGAAGGAGTCGGGGAATAAGCCACCAGTGGTAACGTATAACCCCTCGCTCTTCTCTCACCCTTCCTCCTCCTCCTCGTCTCCCGTAGCAACGCACTCGACTGACTGACAGACCGACCAATCGCCACACCTCACCCACGCTGTCGACCAATGACTGGCTCACTGACTGACTGCAGACTAATCGCCACTCCAACCCCGAGGCTGGATGGATCAATAAAACCTCATTAGCTTTTAACACAGTTTATCCATATTTATTCAGTTTTGTTTTTTGCGTTACAAAGCCATGTTATAGGAGGCATGATAAGACTGGATGCTACTGAACTCTTCATCCTCGTCCTCCTCCAACAAGGCTGTGTGACAGTTAGCTTGATGCACTGAGACGTGCAGCTTTTGTTTTGTTTTGAGAGATGCAAAATTCACTTTTCTCAGTTTTATTTTTTTTTGTATAGTGTTTAGCTGATCAGAAATGAAGGCTCACAGTGTCATCAGTGCCTGTTTCTGCTGCATGGACACCGGAGGACAAACATCCTCATTTTCACTTACATGTTTCTGTTGTGTATTTTTTTTCTTTTCTTTTGTTTTTTGCAATGTCTTTTTTAACCTTTGCACTGCACCTTCTGGTTGGTGTGTGTGTATGCGTGCAAGTGTTTTATTAATTGAGGCATCACTGGTCTTGTGCTTCATTTCTGTGGGTTTCCTGGAGTTTGGCTGGCTTCACACTTTGAGTCAATGCTTTTATTTCTTTCCTGATGGAAAGACAGTCCTGGCTGGTTTTATATTTCCTTTGCCACCTTAAAGCCTGTTTGAAATCTCTTTAAACATAACTTGTATTTATGCATAACCTTTAGATGTGTTTCCTTTTTGAAATTTTCTGTCTGCCCATCTCTTATGACCTCTCCTCTCTTCCCTTCTCTTTCTCACTTGCTTTTTTTTTCTCTTTGCCAAACCCATCGTCTTTGTTTCCACCTCTCTTGACTTCCTCCTCCTTTCCTCTCTTTTCTTCTCTAGATCCGCTACAGGAAGGACAAAGTGCAGTCTAAGCTGACTCCTACTTTCCCTCTGGTCTCTGCGGTCAAAGATCTATCTAATGGCTGTGCAATAGCTGCTGTGCTGCACTACTACTGCCCCAGCTTGCTGCCTCTAGAGGGTACACATCAACTCAAACGCTAGCACACATACATAGCTGTAGAGACTGGATGATGAAATATTTATACTTGGCCGATGTATGCTTCCAAAACACTCCACACCTTAAATGATGGACCAACAACATTTAAAAAAAAACAAACCCAATAACATGTGATATGTTAAATAAATGCATTTCTTTGAATTTTCATTATTAAAAGTTCTGTGTAATCATTGAATTCATAAAACCAGAGAGAACTTTGTTGTTCAAAGCATTTTAGAGGGTCAAAGAGCATCTGTTGTGGTGGTATTTCATTTCAAGCAGTTGTATTTGATAGCTTTTTGCTGACACACGTGTCCACATGCAAATAAAAACTACACACTGCATATTAATGTTGTCCTTTATCTGCTCCTTCCAGATGTGTGTCTGAAGGACACCATGTCAGTGGCTGACAGTCTCTACAACCTGCAGCTGATCAAAGAGTTTTGTGAGAGCAGCTTGCAGTGCTGCTGCCCCCTCGCTGTGGAGGACCTGCTCTACGCTCCACCCGCTCTGCATGTAAGCATTATGAGGTTGGAGTTAGTTAATACAGAAACTTTCATGCTCTTAAATTGCAACTCAAATCCAAAACCTGCCATCTAGTTTGAACGTCATGTTAACTTTTACAAAATTGCCCAAAACTGCAGCGTTTATCTAAACTACAAACTGTAAAAATCAAACGACTCAGCACCTTATCAACTGTCCAGTGGTCCTGGAGCTGCTCATCTGTGACATGTCATTGTGTGAGAAAAATAACCAAATTTAAGCTTAAATTGATGATAATTCATCAAAATCACATTATTCTATATGTCTCATTTAAACGTTCACCAAAGAGAAACCGTTTGTTCTAATCTGATTCTCTAAACAACAAAAACTTCTGCAGTCTTCAGTGACACAGTGAAGCATGAGTGACTCAGCTGTGACCAACAGTCACATAGCAAAGGTTCAGAGACTTTTCAGCTGAACTGCAGGCTGTGTTCATACAGAGCAGCATAGAAGCAAATAAAAGTGTCAGTAGTAAAATATAATTAGTATGTATAACTACGGCTGCAAGGTGGCTTTGTGGTTAGCACCGTTGCCTCGCAGCAAGAAGGTCGCCGGTTTGCGTCTCGGTGAGGACACCCGGGATCTTTCTGCGTGGAGTTTGTTCTCCCCGTGCAGCGTGGGTTCTCTCCGGGTTCTCCGGCTTCCTCCCACACAGTCCAAAAACATGTTGAGGTTAACTGGTGATTCTAAATTGTCCGTAGGTGTGAATGTGAGTGTGCTTGGTTGTCTGTCTCTAAGTGTAGCCCTGTGATAGACTGGTGACCTGTCCAGGGTGTCCCCTGCCTTCACCCTGAGTCAGCTGGGATAGACTCCAGCCCCCCATGACCCTAGTGAGGATTAAGTGGTGTATAGATGATGGATGGATGATGTATAGTTACTGTTTGCCAGAATTGGTGACATGTGTGGGCCCTTAAAAAAATGTTGTATGTGTGGATTTGAGGTTTTTTCATTTTTGTAAAACAAGCAATCAAAGTATGTTTTTTATGATAGATAATTTAAAAAAATTAATTAGATCTGTGTCATGCTGGATAGTAGACATTTGTGAGTTCTCTCTACTTGTAGCCATGCTTGTGCTGTTTCCACAGATGAGCAGGACTTTATACTGCAGTGTAAAAGTAGTCTAGAGTGATTAAAACTGTGACAGGAGCAAAAGGAATCCAGAGAAGGCTTAAGTTGTACAGACAGGGGGAAAAAAAGTTTGTTTAAAAGCATGTGTTTAAAAAGCACTCCACACCAACACATTTAATTCTCTCTGTGGGAAAGTTATTGATGCACTTATGCTGATGGGCTGAAAGATTAAGCCACGCCCATCATTTCAGCTTGGTGTGGTCTGTTCATTGTCTTTTTACTACACCCAGCTCTGATGAAGCATTGCGCCACGGTACACAGGGATGAGTGTAGACCAGAGAAAGCATTAAGTAACCACTAGATGGCAGCATATGCAGGAGTTTACAGTTCTTTAAAATGTGATTGTCTACATTCCATGCAGTGCTCTTTGGCATGATGTCATCCTGCAATATTGTGCATAAAATTGACAGTCTGTGAGTTTATCCTGTTCTTTAAAGTCACCGTGGCCTCTGTAATCTATGCATATGTTAGTCTCCTCCCTTCCTGGTAGCTAACAAGCTCTTTTCCACAGCTGAACATCATGAGCTTCATGGCAGAGCTGCTGGAGTGGTTTGAGGTGAAGAAGCCTGACTTTGTGCAGCCCTTACAACCCATTGACCTCTCAGGTTTGTGACTTCGCAACATTGATAAGAACATCTCTCTATTATTGTTATACTGGCTTTGTGCATGTTTTATGAAGATCACACTGATCAACAGACCCTAGAACTGAAGTGTTTCTGTATCTTTCAGATGTCTCAGGGTTACTAGACTGTACAAGTCCCGTCAGTGGAAACAGCAACAGGTACCAGCATCCAATTAACACCATCCTGCCCACATATAGGAGGAGTTATCAAGATGTTCAGAGACTGTATCTGAACATTTCAAAAACCACCTCTGATTTAAAGTTGACCAACAATCTTCAGACACCACTCCCAGTGCTCCTGCATCACTTTTAATGCTCTGTGGAAGTCCTGTTGTGTGATTTGTTATGTAAAAATGTCAGCATTAACTCATTCTGGGTTGCTAACCGACACAGAATTTGATGGTTTTTCTCTGCCCCAGTTTGAGGTCCATTAAGAAATTGTAAATGTGCACCTAGAAGTGGTCACAAAAATGTGTCTACCACAGGTCCAGCTGTGGTTAGAGCAATGTAACACAGCTTCCTGACTTGTGACAGTTACTGCCCGCACATGGTGCAAACACTCTGCACAGGCACGCCACGAACCGTATCAGAACTTTTTCATCATTTCTGGTACACACACACACACACACACACACACACACAAAATCCAATCAGAAGTAAAAAGTCAGTCTGATAAAGAATCTGTCATAAACCAGACTGAACCTAAAATACGACAGGATTTATTGAGGCAGAACCAGATGAAACCCTCCATAAACTTTTAAAAGAGTGAATGGAGAAATGTAGCCACAAGTTTCAAGCTTTGAATCAAAACTTCAACACAGAAATGTTCCAGTGAAACCTTTCAGATCTGCTGTCGTTTAACCACGTTGTCTGTTTTTAGTGGTTCTCCTTCCTTCATCTTCAAACAACCCTTCGTGCCCATCTGCTCCCCAGTGTCACCTGGTGAGAAATACTGCATTCATTCTATGTATTATTATTATGGATTTGAACTCAATACAATCACTGTTACATTTGACTTTTAAAGACGTATTTGTTTCTAATGTTTTTTTGCAGAAAACAAAAGTTGGACAAAGAAGCAGATCAGGTAGATACACTAAAACTCTGTATGTGGTTTCTATCGTAAATGTTGTGCTGCACTCATGTTTTATCTTAATTTTTTTAATCTTCTTACTTTGGCTTCTGTGGTCTCTGCTTTTTCATACTCGTTGGCAAAACCCATCCATTTGTGCATCTTTTCGTCGTCACCCACCTCTCTGCAGTCGTCCTCTGTCAGCAGTGACTTTCAGCATCCCATTTGGCCTGGACAGTGATGTTGACATTGTCATGGGAAACCCAATAGATTCTGTCTTTCGCTCTGTCAGCACTGACAGCCTCACCACCGGCATCCCTGCAATGAGCTCACCGGTGACATCAGCAGGGATGACTCGTGTCCCCTACAGCCCTCCAGAAGACCTCAGTCACCTGGTCAGCGCTTCAGCTCCACTGCAGCGGTCTTCCTGGGGCCCCTATGCACACACGGCACCACTGGGGGAGCTGCCAACCATTGAGGAGGCGCTACAGGTGGTCCACACACCCGGGAGCAAAGATCGGAAGAAAGGACGGACAATTGAGAAAACTGGGAGAGGGGTGCTGGTGAGCCGACCAGAGCCCAGGTTACGCCCCGAAGGAGCCCCTGCAGGTTTCTTCCTGCACTCCCCTGAAGAGGATAATCCCCAGCTCAGTAGCTCTGCCCCCTGTCGCTCTGGAGTCCTCTGCCGGCCAGTCGGAGGAGAAGTGGGTGATTCTGAGAGGCAAGGAAGGCCAGAGAGGAGGGAGAGATCAGGACGGAGCTCTGATATGTCACGTGATGATGACTCTGTGCTACGAGATGGCAGCGTCGACTCCTCTGAAGCTTCAGATGATGCTCCTAGGAATGCCCCAGGTAACATGCGACCCAGTAATGGTCGCCAGGGAAACCACAGCACCAGCAACAGTCCACGAATGACGAGCTTTGCTGAGCGACGAGACAGCCGAAGGAGACATCCTGCTGCTACTGGGGAAGACTCCGCTTCTGCTCCGACCCCAACAACCCCAGGAACTCCGCACACACCCTCCACCCCAGCAGGGGCACCTGGTCGCCAGGAGAGTCCGGGTCCCAGAGGCCCTGAACCGGGCTCTGAGGCTTGGGAGCTGGGAGCTCGTCTTGAGGAAAAACGCAAAAGCATTGAAGCCCAAAAAAGACGGATCGAAGCCATTTTTGCCAAACACAGACAGAGGCTAGGTAAAACTGCTTTCCTTCAGCTGAAAAGAGAGCAAGGAGAGGGAGGAGGGGAGGGAGCAGAGGAGGACAATCTGACCCTGGAGGAGCGTCTCACTCGAATGGAGGAACAGTTGAAACAGGAAGAGGAGAAAGAAGAGAAAGAAAAAGAGAAAGATGCAGAGAAGGAAAAGGAGAAGGCATCTGTTTCCAATCCTCCTCGGTTAGAGAAGCAGGTCACATTCTCTATTGAAAGTAAGAAAGGAGAAGAGAAAGAAAAAGGAGCAGAGAAACCCGGTGAAGGTGTGTTGGTGGAATACAATGAAGTGGTGCAGAAACTGAGTGAAGCCCTGCAGTCGCTACAGAAGGACATGCAGAAACTTACCGAACAGCAGCAGCAGCTCATGAGCAACCAAAGACCCAGAAACACACCCAAAACCGCTCCAAAATCAACACCTAGAAGTAATACCAAAACACCACCCAAAACCCCTCCTCACACTCCAACAAAGACACCGCCAAGAACCCCGACAAAGACGCCGACCAGGACCACCAGTAAAGCATGGGTTATTCCTGGTGGTCTCAGTCCCTCTGCTTCTTCCCCATCACGGCGTTCTCATGGTGTTACCTCGTCCAGCTCCCCAAAAACTACAATCTCTTCCTCGTGCCCAGCTCCTCGCACCAAGATTCATGCTTCCTCAACTCCCCGCAGCCCCAAACACCACCCGCGTTCCCATCATCAGCCCCACCCACGGCCGTCTGAACTCAAGTTCCCTCCACTCAATCGTGTCTTGACACCAACCCAGAATGTGGACACACTGCCCCACCTCCGGCGTGTGTCCCCCAGCAAGTGTCAGGTACAGACCGCCTCTTCGTTCCGTATTGGTGGGCCCAGGACTCCTCAGGAGTCTCCTCAGCCTACCCAGCAGCCACAGCCTGACGAGAACACCTCAGACACCGCCTCGAGTGAAACTCCCACTCAGTTCAGCCTGGAGTTGGAGCAGGAAGATGCAGAGGCAGTCGGAGGGCTGCCGGTCTTGCCACAACCCAGACAAGATCGTCCGAGGGCGACTGGTGGCAGCAGCTCTGGAGCTCCTTCTGAGTGCTCATTTGAGAGCGAGACTTTGTCCCTGTCTGCTGCGTACAGCGCAGGAGGTGAAGGAGGAAGAGGTGCCGGGAAGCGGTGCAGTCTGATCGAGGTGTCGTTGTCATCTGTTGGGGGGCCAGCAGGGGGCAGTGATGAACCAACCGATGAGGGGCAGGAGTTTTCCTCTGATTCTATGAGCGATCACACAGAATCTGCGATGGAACCTGCTAGAGGTCTCGCTGCAGAACCCTTGGATCCCATAGAGCAACTAAATCTGGCCATGGCAGCTGAGGATTTACCAGAACAACCAACTGAATCCAAAGAAGATCAAACAAGACAGACTGAAACTTTGGAACCAAGTGGAGAACAGAATGAAGCGGGAGCCAGAGGAGGAATTGGATTCTTCTTTACGGTGAGTGCTTACAAAAGTTTGTTTTGCGCGTGAATTCTGTCCTGACAGCTGAACAAATAATCATGTGCTGGTGTGGTTGTAGGACGAGGTCCACAGTGAAGGAGAGATGGCCCAGCGCAGAGCACTGCTGTTGGAAAGACAGCAGAAGAGAACTGAGGAGCTGAAGAAGAGGAGACAGTGGCACGAGCAAGAAAGGGAAAACAGGTAACACACAAACAGTATTTATGATCAAAGTTATTACTTACTGAATTCTTTGTCTCCAAACGTTGCAATTCCTAAATTTGTCGATGAACAAATTCAAACCTGAGCTGCATGCATGGAAAAGTAACAGAACTCCTTTGGGTTGGTTTCAGACCAGACAAAAGAGTGGCATCTCCCTCCAACACACCTCCAGTAGGAACAACCTCACCTTCCCTCACACCTCCGGCTACTCCAGCTCGCCGTGGAGAGTTCACAAGAGGGGAGTACGCACGGCGGCAGCAGCTCAGAATCATGGAGGACCTGGACAAAGTGCTTAAACAGAAAGTCCCCGGTCAAGGAAAATCTTCCTCTAAGAAAGCCCGGTCCCGACCTCGCAGCATGACCAGAGAGGAAACAAAGCTGTCTTTGAGTCCAGCCAAGGGAGCAACTGGTAAAGTCAAAAGTGAAAACAAATGGTCAACAGTTTGTAGATTATTTTAATGACTGACCTGTTTTAATGTTTGTTTCCTCAGCCTCTAAGTTGACCAAAGTCTACTCTCACTCCTCGCTCAACCTGGCAGCCACAGATGAGCCTGGAAACAGTGGGAGTGGATCCACAAAGAAACCACACAGGTACTCTGCTGCATAGCTCATCTGTATCATCTGTAGCTCGCATTCGAACATATTTTAGCCACAGTTTTAGCAAAGCTTGAGAGGTGGCTGTAATGTTTGGCTCGCCAGTTGCTTGGTCCCTCTTTTTAATCCACCTGTGTTATTGAGCTTGAAATATCTGAAATGTAGTTAATGGCAGTAGCATTGTTAGGATGCTGAAACATTGTTGAAGTTATTTCAGAGTAAAAATGAATATAAAATATGAGATAATGTAAAATTAAGGTAGAAATGTAACAACATATGAGGCCTCAAGCGGCTTCCATCTGATGATATCTGTTGGGTGCCGAGTGCCGTTGGTGGCAGCGAAACCTCAGGTCTCAGCCTCAAGCGTACAATGAATGAGTTCTAATGAGCTGCTCACGGTTTTACATTCTGCTGTCATATATACTGAAACAAGGGCTCATGGATTTGGTTTTTCTTTTGGAATTTTCTCCAGCATCCGCCCTGATTCACCTTCAGGATGTGTGACACCAAGCAAACTGGTAAACCAGAATGGAGATAAGGACTGGGAATCTGGTTCCAATGGAACCTCACCTGCCCCAGAATACACAGGTACAACACCGAACACAACAGGTCTTGAGTTCTTGTGCAGTGTCCAAGGTTGCATTCAAAATCTCATATTATACACTTTAGATGCACTACTCAGCGTAGTAGCACCTCACTTTCCATCTCAGTGGAAAATGAAACCTTACTCTTAAATTTTAATTGAGGACTTATAGACGTTACAGCTGACTTGCCGTGGCTGCTGTCTATCATTGTCTGTTTTCTGTGTCACTACTATATTTATGTCAGCATAGTGTCCCGTGCTTGCATGCTGTAAACTACTATGCACTTTGCAAACTATTGGGTTCACACTAAGTTTTCAGACATCTTAAAACACTTTGCATGCTATTTGTAGCGTACTGATTATCAGGTTATTATGGGATTTGAATGCAGTGCAAGTCTATGCAACAACAACCGTGCCTTTGTTTGTATTTTCAGGTCCAAAACTCTTCAAAGAACCGAGCTTCAAGTCCAACAAATTCATTATTCACAACGCTCTGTCTCGCTGCTGCCTCGCTGGGAAGGTCAACGAGACACAAAAGAACAAGATAGTCGAGGTAGAACACTGTTGGACACTGCTACCAGTAAAATCCATGAAATGAAACCTTTAAATGTTGTTGTGAATACTGTGATGTGTGCGTATTTGTAGGCATGAGCAAATGTTAACCAAAACCAATATGATCTTTTCTTTCTCTTACTTTCACTTTGTTCCAACTTCAGGAGATGGAGAAGAGTCCTGCGAACCACTTCCTCATCCTCTTCCGTGATTCCAGCTGTCAGTTCAGAGGTGTGTACACCATGAACCCCGACTCCCAGGAGATGGTGCGACTGACCGGCGTGGGCCCACGGACTGTTAGCTCCGCCCAGGTGGAATCCATCTACAAATACAGCTCAGACAGGAAGCAGTTTAGTGCCATTCCCTCTAAAACCATGGGCATGAGTGTGGACGCCTTCACCATCCCAAGTCATCTTTGGCAAGGTGGAGGAGCAGCAGGAGGAGGAGGAAGCAGGAGAGCAAGTATTACTAAGAAGGCAGTCATTTCTAAGTGAGGATCACAACACAGCCTCACAGCGATTATAGAAAACACTATAATTACACTATAATACAGTGAAAAGCTGTAGTCAAACACAAGAGCAGTTATTTATACGTACACAGATAGGCCTTTAGGCGTGTGTGTGCATCAGTACAACTTACCTCTATTGCCCTCGGATTTTATTAGAAACACAAAATATTAGACGAGTATTTGTACTCCCCTTTATGTGCATGAAAACATGAACAGCACAACTTTCAGAGAACAGTAACACTTATACAGAGGAAGGTTTTTGTAAGATTTAAATTCCACATGGAAGAGTTACTTTTAAAAAGTCTCATTGCATATGCTTTCATTGTTTGAAGTACAAACTTTTTTTTCTTTTGAAAGAAAACATTACTGAGTTGTTTATTGAAAAACAGGAAACGTATGATTACTGTCTGATCCCTCTCCGGTTCTGTGGACTGAAGTCCTTCAGTAAAACACCAGTTTTATACATGAAGCCAAACAGCAGAGAAAATGCCTTTGTGTCAGAGTGACTGACAGGACTTTTTTTTATTTTGTACGAAGTCAATTCTACTGTTAGCGGGTGAATTTAAGCACATTTGTTCTGCAAAATGAAAGACAGCCATAACCGTGTGATGCAGAGGGGAACTGGGTTTTTTTTCCTGTAAATGTGTCGGTGGTTTTCAGAGACGATCGCCACAGCATGAAGGGTTATTTACTGTACGTGGTATAAGCTTATTTCAAAATAATACCACAGTGAAAACTTGTGGTTTGATGAAACTATGTCGATGGTATGTGAGCATTTGATGCCAATCAAAGCAACTTTTGTACACCGAAGTGACAGCAGACTGAGGGTGACGTGTGTCATACCCAGATTACATTTAGAAGTACCTGGAGTGCTGTGCTCTCGGGTGGGGATGGGTACTGATGGCCGGTTCCATTATTAGACTAGTTCCAGGCTCTGATGCCCCAATGAATCTTTCATTTACAAGTTTTCCTCCTTTTGATGCTACAGGAAGTTGCAAAGAAGGAAACTTGGTGACAAATACAAACTAGTGCTAACTCAGGGGAAGCAGTTAACATGACTGGACCACCTTCACTGAAATGTTCCAAAGTAAAGAAACAATAGTAAAATGCTGTAGTAGCAGGAAAGCACCCCTGCTTTAATATGTATCTACCGTCAGTTATAGTAAAGTAAGAACATGTGGCGTTTTTCATAACCTGAGAAGGCCGAGCACAGTCTGTCACCAGTGACCCCTTTGTCTTTAGATCATACACTGTATTTATTTTCTTTTGTTAAGTGTTGTAATTAATTCAATATAATGGATATTGTCTCCATTGTGTTGTTTTAGATTAGCGTCCACACCGTCTGCAGCTGTAGGAACTAATGTGAACAGCCCGACAGTGTGGAACAAGCACTGTTTCCTCTTGCAGCTAAATGAATCACGACAGGGTTCATGAATGTCACAGAGCAGCGACACGACGCCGAAGTCAAACCTGCACGTCTTTTTTTTTTTTTTAACCATGAAACAACCTAAAAAGATTCAATCAGGAATTCAAAAGGATTTCGTAAGTGAAATTCAGATTTGATGCTGTTGAAGCTCATCCCCACTCTCGGTAGAGTGCACACTGTTAAACTGTTTCAAACCAGCATACATGTATGAAATAACAAACTGGATTAAACTCCACTGATCAAGCTCTTTCTCTCTGTGTCTCTTGGTTTTTTTTCACACATTTTTTTACACATAGCCTGCTCTCTCACTGGTCTTCAGACGACAAAGCAAACCCCTAAATATCTGCTTTAGGGTATCTTTGTGTTCCTCTGTCCAGTTATTCATAAGCTGTGTAAGATGAGAGGACTTTCAGGAGTTTTGGTGGTGACTATAAAGGTTAAGATGGTTAAGAATCACCTTTGCACCTTTTTCTTTACTGCTGAGTGTGTGTCAGCGCTCACATGCTGGTGAATAACTTGCTCCTTAGAAAACATTGTAAGTGGCTGATAACTTAGCAAGCAGCACTTTTTGTTTAAATTTGCAAATTTATAGGACAGATATTTA